TAATAATAATAATAATAATAATAATAATAATAATAATTGTTTTAAAAATCTATACTATATATAAAAACAAAATCCTGAAATTTTAACTTCCCGCCCAATTCCTAAAAAATCTCCCTTCCTAATAAAATATATTGATTTCTACTTTCCCATTCGTACAATAATTCTGCGTTAAAATTCTATTCTAATATTATAAAATAGTGTAATACAATCTATCTATACTATATATAAAAACAAAATCCTGGAATTTTAACTTCCCACCCAATTCCTAAAAAATCTCCCTTCCTAATAAAATATATTGATTTCTACTTTCCCATTCGTACAATAATTCTGCGTTAAAATTCTATTCTAATATTATAAAATAGTGTAATACAATCTATCTATACTATATATAAAAACAAAATCCTGGAATTTTAACTTCCCGCCCAATTCCTAAAAAATCTCCCTCCTAATAAAATATATTGATTTCTACTTTCCCATTCGTACAATAATTCTGCGTTAAAATTCTATTCTAATATTATAAAATAGTGTAATACAATCTATACTATATATAAAAACAAAATCCTGAAATTTTAACTTCCCGCCCAATTCCTAAAAAATCTCTCTTCCTAATAAAATATATTGATTTTTACAATAATTCTGGGTTAAAATTTTATTGTAATATTATAAAATTGTATAATACTATTCCTATTCTAATCTATATCTATTTTATATATCAGTGTTGCAAAAATCGTATCGCTGGAAGGCCGGAATCGGCCTCCTCAGCGGCCGCCTCGCCGGCTGAACCAGCCTTTAATTTTTAATTTTTATTTTTTAAGTTGTAAAGTGTCAAAAGTTCGACAAGGCATAACTTTTGACTCCGTTGTCCGTTTTGGACAAATGTTGTTTTGAAATTGCGTATTTTTTCTAGATCTATCCACCGCAAACTGCCGTAGGCAGTTTGGCCCACCAATTTCTAAAAAACATACTTTATTAAAGAGTTTCTAAGAAAAAACTATGAGAACCTTATGTTTTATTAATGAATTTTTAAAATTTTTAATTAAACAATTGTCCCGTGCATTATTTAATAATCTTTCTTTATAATTGGTCAAATTATTTAATTATGGTAAATTTGGGAATAATTAATGATGGTAATAGAAATCTAAAAGATCCTAGAATTGAACAATATTTAATTATTGTTATATTATTATTGTGACTCACGGAATACAAGAGTTAATGCCATTTTTGGTTCTAGACTTATTGGGGCATTGACACTTTTCATCGTCCATAATAAAAATTGCCACTTAATAACCACTGTTATTGATCGTTGGACAGTTTTGATCCTCCGTCAATGACGCCGTTTGTTGACCGTGAATTAGCAGGGTTTTTCTGTCTTTTTATGTTTTAATCCTTGTATTTCTCCATCCATTGGTCACTGCTACATCCATTTCTTCAAACTGAGGTTATCCGCTTCAGTCCTTTCTAACATTAAGAAACCATCTTCACCCAACTAACAATCACGAATTTTACATTTGACATCAATCTCAAGATAATGGAAACAAGTGCAGTTGGAATAGAAAGGGCGTTAGTCCATGCCTGTGGAAATTTTGTCGAGCATACAACATAACTAGCAAAGTCAGGAATATCACCCAACCCCTCCCTTAACCTTTCTGCATCAACTATAATAGGTAGGCCCCTACTCCTTGCCTCCTGCACTACAATCAAAGCAGTCTCATGCAGCCTTCCATCTAAGTAGACAATATTTACTCCAAGCGCTGAAGACAATTTTGATTTGGGTATGTAGACCCTCAGATATCATGGGTGGATATCTTGGAGTGAAAATGCACGTGCGAGTTTTTTTTTTTTTTTTTTGGTTGTCAACAATGACATATGTGAATGGTGAGTTTCCTCCTTTGGGCACCACCATAAAAGATGTATCAACACCATCCCTTTCAAGCTCATCAAGTATTCTTTCGCCATGCGAGTCATCAGCAACCTTAGATATGATCCTTGGATTAAGACTAAGACGAATTTTATCAAAGCATTGCCAGTGTTACCACCTCTTTGAACCTCAAAGCTGGTGCTCCGAATTTTATCATCCGGGTTGGGGAATGAAGCTACAGCAGCCATGAAGTCAACACCGGCCATTCCAACACCTCAGACAATGCGATTTTTGGGGAGCGGCGGATTCCACATTTTCAGCTTGAAACTTCAATGAATTTCAGGTAGAATAACAGAGTAGAGTTTTTGAGGTTGTGCACCAAGTAGTTGTGGTCAGAGAGAGAGAGAGAGAGAGAGAGAGAGATGGGAAGGATAGTTGTGGTCAATATGGAAGGGAGGACTTACAGGTGCAAATTCTACATCACGCCATCTACAACTACAACTGCTATTTACCATAGGAGGGTTCGCCGACCTGCTGCCCTCTCTGCTTCGCCGGAACCAAAAACCACTGGTGAAGGCCCCAACCTCGCCGGATCTGTTGCTGCACCGCCAGATCTGCCTTACTGGTCCGTCGCCGGAAGGAGTTACTGCCTCGTATGCTCGCCGCCGTACCCACAACTCGCCGGAGAAGAACCTCGCTGCTACTCACTACCGACGGTTACTACTTAGCCACCAAGTCTCGCCATCTCGCCTCACAGGAGTCACAGCAGCGCTGGTCTAAACAAGATTAGAAGAATAAGACATAAAAATACATAAAAGCCCTTCTAATTCACGATCAACAAACGACTTCATTGACGGAGGATCAAAACTGTCCAACGACCAATAACAGTGTCTACTAAGTGGCAATTTTTATTATGGAGGATGAAAAGTGTCAATGCCTCAATAAGTCTAGGACCAAAAATGGCATTAACTCCGGAATACAATACAAGAATATTTAATTATGGTTATATTATTATTGTGCCTCACGACCATTATATACTAACAGTACTTGAAAAGAAACTAATAATAATAATATAATAATAATAATATAAGTGGTAATAATAATATCTAAAAGTAATTAAGTGTTAATAATAATAGTAAGAATATTAACGTAAGAGTTGTAACATAGAATAAATTGTAATAATTAATAACTATAGTCTTGGATTAAATTTGGAATTGTCAGGAAAGATAAACGACCTCTGGTGAAATTAACTCTTAAATAATTATATATCAATTTAAATATTCTTAATATATTACAACAATTCTATTCCGTGCATCGCACGGGTGAAAATACTAGTAATAATAGTAATTTAATAAAAGAAATAAAATTTAAAAAAAAAATAAAAAAAAATAAAACATATGGGGAGCTGAACGTTCGGCTCCCGGCTCCTTAGTTTTGCGACTTTTCGGTGGGAAAAGTGGCATGGCAGCCTTCAGGCTCCTATAAAATAGGAGCCTCAAGGCTCCAATTTAAAAATAAGCTTGCCCATCTGTTGATGGGCAAGCAATGAGCCAGCGAAACTAGCTCTCGTTATTCAAGGAGTCGTTGCACTTTAGATTGACAGTAGGTGATTAAGCACTTGAACCCCTGAAATCCCACTCTTTCTCTATTGTTTTCATCAACCTACTGTCTTGTTCTCTTATAAATTAGTTTTACTTTTACAATCAATCAATCACCCTTTTCGTTAGGATTAACTTCTTGTGAATAGATTAGTAGCTAGTGCTTGATACGCCCCGCTTCCCTGTGGATCGATAACTTGATATTCTGGATATTTATTTGTTCGTCAAATATATTACAACCAACAGGCTGTTCGCGAACCGAGAGCAACGCGGTTAGGTTTTGAAACTCTTATCGTAAACCCGAAAAACATATTGGTTCATCTCTTCCAATCCAACTGGTTGACCGGCCAAGGCTAGATCCTCCATAATGACACGAGCACAGCCAATATAATCGGAAACCGTGGACTCTCAAGTTATCTAAAGAGATTTAGTGATCAGGCACGAGATGAGGAAGCTAGTGACTCCTTGATTGACTCACAAACCTCCCGCGACGTACGACGTCCAATGGCGAGGTGCATGACTTCCTTGGAGAGCGAGGAAATTAACATATACATCAAAGCCTTATCGTGGCGAAACCACACGACATGGGTTGGGTTAGGTTGTGGCATGGCGTCGGTGGCGGCTGGTAGGAAAGCCGATGGGCACGGATCAATACCATCAATAAACCCCATGAGCCCCTGTCCTTGTAAGAAGGGCACTAGTTGTGTTCTCCAAAACAAAAAATTATTCTTATGGGTGAGCTTAATACTGATAAAGTTATAAGCAGTAGAAAGTGAATTAACAGCCATAGAACTGGAGGAAATAACGGCAGCATCAGAAACAGTCCGTTCTGAGAAATTAACAAATCCGTCAGCCATAGGAGCGAGAAAACCCTAGCTAGCTGATACCAGATGAGAACGATATAAACTGCATTAGATTTACCGTAATTACAACTGTACAAACTGCGAAAATATATATAAGAGGAATCATAATGAGACTAGGATAGGTAGTCATCATGTGACTCAAATACATAAAGTCATGTTATCATCAAACATGTGAAAAATATGTTACTTCTATCCTATAATTTAATTGAAAAACATAGAAAACCAATACATTAATTGTTCAATATTCTCGAGATAAACAAGGGTTTTTATTATATTTGGCAAGTTTAATACAATTACATATGGGAGAAGCTATAATTTTTTTTTTTTTTTTGAGTACTACTGATTCTGTTACAAATGTAGTATATATATATATATATATATATATATATATATATATATATATATATATATATATATATTAAGAAAAAGTGTGTAGTCATCACTAACTTCCTTGCACTTAATGGGTAATTGTAATCCTCACATCTTGGCAATATGAACCTCAATCTCTACTCACAATATAATCCACTTTGCCCAGATGGATCAAGCTATATATGTACGTACACGTACAAGGAAGAAAAAAGGGTTTAAATTCCAATGATATGTATTCTCTCTCGATATATATATATATATATATATATATATATATATATATATATATATATATATATATATATATATATATATATATATATATATATATATTACGTCGAGTTAAACTTATTAATGAGTAATTGTGTTAGATTATAACTCCATCCAAGCCCCAATCTATGAATAGTATTACTTGTTATGTACTGTTACTCATCAAGAAATTTTGAAGGTTGATGACCATGACTGTTACATCATCAAGGCTGCCCCTCATTGAAGACAAATCTACAAGCTTCTTGCATGACTTCATTGAGTTGTTCTCACTCAATACCACATCAACAGCCTCCTGATTGCTTACCTACAAACCATAATATATAAAACATAAATATGCAGTCCAACTATATAACTATCGGTCTATACTATCATATATGTTCCGTAAGATATAGATAATATAGGAGTATGTACCTTATCCCACAATCCATCAGAAGCCAAAATGAGGAATTGACAATCTGATGTCAAAGGGAGGTTGAGAATATCAGGCTCAGAAATGATCAATTCTTTCAAGTGATGGTCTCCAAATGCCCTAGACACTGCCAGGGATCCATTCACTCTCAAAACCCCATTCTGACAATACAGCATCCCACCCTGCAATAATATATACATAAACCAATTAATAATGTTATTTTTATATATGATGCTATATAAGTAGTGTTGATGATATGATATGATACAGCATTGGCTAAGACAGTGTTGCAAAAATCGCGCCTAGGCGCTCTAGGCGCTTGGCTAGGCGTTCTAGGAGCCTAGGGGGCGCCTAGCGATTTTTTCAACATTGGTCTGAGAATGAATTGATAGAAGGAAGGGTTACCGATTTTTCAATCCTAGCTCGTTCGTCTTCCCGGCTAGCAGGACGATGATCGCTCGTGAGCGAGACCGCAACACTTTTCCTACTCAAAACCACTCCGCAATCACCCACGTTGGCTACGTGCATTTCTCCATCCTTTATTAGAACACTTGCTGCGCATGCTCCCCCATCCTTACCCTAATTTTGCATTTTATTTAGACATGCACAATTTTAATCACACATCTTTGTGCTATACAATCCGATTGTATAATAATTTCGTACATTTTAATTAGATAGATAGTCGGACTGCACATTTATTATTATATATTATATACTCAAGAATTCAACATTATCATACAATGCAACATCATCAAGAAGTTTGAATCATCAATAGTGTGCTGATTTTGACTGTGTCGTGGGGACATATATATATGCGTATATATATATATATATATATATATATTAATGCATGTGACGTGGCAGTCAAATTACATAGTTTTTTGGGTTTGAAGCATGCGTGAATGGTAGATTGGTGGGCAAGCAACATAATGGAAGGAGAAAATGTGTGTCGGAAGGAGCATATGAAGTTACCTGGACGAGGAATTGCTTGTCTGTTTCGGAGTAACCTTGGCGTAAGGCATCTTCTATGTGGTTCCCAGATGATGATGATAATGAAACCTTATTCCCAGCTTCCAATGAATTCACTATGTTCTTTCCTAGATTTTCAGCTACATAATCCACTGCATTTCGGCCCCCGTGCCCGTCTATCACCACGAAAAACGCCTAAAAAAACCAAACACAATCTTAACTAATCCACATTGGATCCAATTCCTTAATTACTTGAATACAAATTTGTCAATTTCATTCTCGTATTCTTATAATTCTGCAAAATTTGAGGTTTAATTTCACAAATTGTTAGGATTTCTTACTTGTTTGGAGTCACCTAAGATGTCAAGTATGACGCTATGCCCATCTTCCATGACCTCCCTCCTTCCTTTCTTACTGGCCACGAAATAATCTCTTCCTTCAACTTCCATCTCCGATCTAATATCCTCAAATCTCTTCCTCGCGAAGACGGCGAAATCAGATTCCGGCGAGTACACCGGCACTTGCAGCAGCGCCGGCCGCTTCCTGGAAATCGCCGCCGCCGGCTGCTTTCGGGAGGGCAAAAACGAACCGCCATTCTCCCGAACGCCGCCGCAGCGGAGGGAAGAAGAAGAAGAGGAAGAAGAAGGAGAAGATTGCGGCATCGGAGACGGAGAGGAGATAGCGGCCGCAGACGACATGTGAGCGGCGGCGGCGGCTTTCCTTAGGCGGTGGAGAAGATTGAGCACGAGAGAGAGGATTATTGAGAAACGGGTGATGAATTGTTGAGCAAATATGATCATCATATCGCTGAAACAGCTTGTAATTGATTAGCTTTTATGTTGACATGCATGAATGAATCTATGGATTATAAGAATAATTATTAAGACTGGAAATCGCAGAGGGAGAGATGATAGAGAATTTATACGAGGAAGAAATTAAGGAGATGATCGAGATGAGGAGAAGCATTAATGGGTCAAAGGATGAAAGAGACAAATGCTAGCTTTCATATTTGGGTATGATTGATTAACGAGTCAAAAGGGTGGGGAATGATTGATGATTGTTCAAACACAAAAATTGTTATTATAATTATTACAACAACTACTATTATTATTATTTTATTAATTTATTTCTTCTTCTAAAAGTTGAATTTCTAACTCCAAAGATTCAAAATTCCAACCTGACAGATCATTTGAAAGAATGTAAATTACTGTAATTTAATGACTCAGTATACAGGACTAAAAATTAGTGTGCACAAGGAACCTGCCACTTTGAACATAACTAAAATTCAAACATTGACATCTTCTCTAAAATACTACCTATTATTATTATTATTATTATTATTTATTATTATTATTATTATATTTGTGGCCGTTTTGTATACGATGAGAGAATATGTTAGAAGCTTTCAATGCCGAGGAAAAGGTCCTGCTGAGCCCAAGCATGTTCCGCCAACAGTTCCCTCGCCTTTCCCTTACAACGTAACATGCCTTGGTGACTTCTTCTTTTTATTTTTTTATTTTCAATTACGGTGATTTCATTTTACCTAGAGAATTTAGTGTAACACTTATGTGAGATTGTTTTACGGATTAGCTCAATTCATGAAACGAGTCAGATTTTTTATTAATAAATCAAATCTTTGATTAATGAGTCGTTAAAATTTGATCTTATTAAATAAAAATCTGACCCGTCTAATGAATTAAAATCTATCTCACACAAATTTTTCTCTAATATTCTCACAATTATAAAAGTAACATAAATTTAATATGAATTGTACTTACAAAGTTTGACTCCAATTTAATTTAATTTTACTTTCAATTTTAGTGACTGTATGTGCACAATTTAAAGTCCATTTACTTCACTTCTCTTGATTTATTTTTTGCTTCTTCATTTCTTCAATTTTCATTTTTTTTTTATTTTCGTTTTTGAAAATCTATTTTTAAGAAAATAATGTTATTTCAAATTCAATGTGCTAATGTTAATTACTTTTTTTGAAACCAAAAGGAAATTCATTACTAATTCAAAAGGTTGGAAATACAACCAGGAGGTACAACAGACCAAGACCTTGAGCCTGACGATGAATCAGTTGCCCGTGCCAATACGTGAGCCACCTGATTCGCTGATCTCTTGACATGGCGGACCACAACGTCCCCAATGTCCCTAGCAATTTGTAAACATTGCTTCACAACAAGTCCTACATACGACAAATTCAAATTACAAGAATTAAAAGCATTACAAAAAATTAAACAATCCGAATCCAGGATCACTCGATTAAAACCTAAGTCACGAATCCAAATAATCGCCTCTTTGACCGCACATGCTTCTGCCATGAGGGGGTCACGGTCGCTCATTAACCAACCGTTCTTTGCTGCCAGAAAGCGTCCCTCGTGGTCTCGTATCACCGCCCCGAAGGCCACACCCGTAGGCAACAATGCAGCATCTACATTGCATTTCATCCAGTGTACCGCAGGACATTCCCAGAGCACACTTTCATCCCTGCTAATAGTTGTCTGCTTATAGCTCTCATTCCAGGTACTAAGCAACACTGAAATCCGAATGTGCAAAGCCTCCACCGTCCACATCTTTCCGTGCCACACACTGTCGTTGCGCGCAGTCCAGAGCATCCAAATGGTGGCTGCCATACGTACTACTATCTCCGGGCGTTGAGCCGCAAGCCTCGTTTCAATGAAAGCTTGCATGGACATTCCCTGGAGCACATTATCATTCCTCCATACTTGCTTGGCAGCCCAGCAGTCGCCCAAAAGGTGCTCAACAGTTTCGGCATGTTGGCCGCATAATGGGCACCCTCCCCCGATCCAAACATTCTTCGTCTTAAGATTCTCACGCACCGGCAGAATTCCACGGACACACCGCCACAACAGACGACGAACTTTCGGCGGAACTGGGAGTTTCCATAGTCTCTCCCACGCTTCGAAACCTTCATCACGAACAATCACAGTCGTATCAGCCGTTAAGAGCTTATATCCGAGTTTAACCGCATACACGCCACTGATGTCGCCCATCCACCGCCATGTGTCGCTCAGATGAGGCGCTATGGGGGTGTTCATAATTCTGCGTATATCCGCTTCGTCGAAGATGTCAAGGAGCACCCCGTCATCCCATTGACCACGGACATCCATTAGACCATTCACCATTGCGTCGCGTAGCGGACTTACCGGGGCAGTAATGAGAGTTGGATTGGCAGCATCGGCCAACCAAGGCCAATCCCAAATTTTCGTTTCCTTGCCATCTCCGATACGTCGTGCTAGACCCTTCCGCAAAACACCCTGCCCTGCTAGAATGCTCCGTCTGCAAAGAATAAATGAGTTATCGCCGGTGCCGCTCGTGCAATCCGTACCCCATGAATGGCTCCACACCCCTCCGCCTGCTGTAGCAAGATGGACAGGCCTTCCGCGCAAATTATAAAGAGGTACGGGGATAGCGGGTCCCCTTGACGAATGCCTCGGGTAGGACACACCGTCCCCACTCCTTCCCCATTGACCTGCATAGAGTACCTGACAGTTGAGACACAATGTAATAACAAATCAACCCAACGGCGTTCAAAGCCCAGAGCTCGTAACATCCCTTCCAGATAGACCCACTCCATCCGGTCATACGCCTTGGCCATGTCAAGCTTAAGAGCCGCCCAACCCATAACCTCGTTTGTCTTTCGTCGCAGAAAATGGCCCACCTCCCCGGCTACGATAACGTTGTCTGTTAGTAACCTATCGGGAACAAAGCCACTCTGTGACAACGAGACCACCAAATCCAGCACCCCTTTTAGTCTATTTGCCAAAACTTTCGCAATTACCTTGTAGGCAACATTACATAGGGCTATCGGACGTAGGTCCGTAAACCTTTCTGGCATTTTCTTCTTGGGAATCAGAACTATATTCGAGTCATTAAGTCCAGGTGGAAAGACACCCGTATTAATGCAATTGAGGACGAACATAGCCAAGTCATGGCCCAATACTGGCCAAAAGTGCTGATAGAAAGCTGGAGTCATTCCGTCCGGTCCCGGAGCTTTGTCTAGGGCCATTGAAAAGAGAGCAGATTTGACATCAGCCACCGTAAACGGTTGTCTGAGAATCGTGTTCATATCATCGGTCACCCTCTGGGGAACCCGATCAAAGAAATTGGACGAGGTGTGCTCAGACTGAAAAATATAATTATAGTACCTTAGGATTTCGGTGTTCAGATTCACCCCTTCCTGCCAGGCCCCTTGTTGATCTTTCAACCGTGTCAGATTGTTGCAACGCTTTCTGAACGAGGCTACCTTGTGGAAATATTTTGTATTAGAGTCTCCGTGCTTGAGCCATAGCTGTTTGGATCGCTGCCTCCAAAACAATTCTTCCTGGCATAAAAGAGAGTGAAGTTCTTCTTCGGCCTCCAAATATTTCTGCACAGTTGCATGATCTCTATCATCGCGGAGCTGTTCCAGACGTCGCCGTAACACCTCAATGCGTCGGCCGAACCTTCGTTTGTATTCACCTCCCCAGCGCCCCAAGTGTCCCGCACACAGAGCAAGACGTTGTTGGAAGTCTAGGCCGATAGATTGCTGCCATGCTGTATCAACAATTCTGCCACATTCGTCCTCCAGAATCCACGCAGATTCAAACCGAAACACTTTCCTGGATTGTCGAACTGGCCGCGGCTCAAGATCCAAACAAATGGCATTGTGATCCGACTCCATCATTAACACATTATGCACCTCTGCGCCATCATGTATGTCCATCCAATCCATCGTAGCAACCACACGATCTAATCTCTCCTCAACCCACCTATCTGTTCCCCATCCCCGCTCCCACGTAAAACGAGGACCCGACATACCTAAATCCAGAAGAGAGCAATCATTCAGAGCTGCGTTAAAACCGTCAATGAGATGATCTGGTTGTAACTGCACGCCCCTTTTTTCTGATTGGCGCATCATTAAAGTCTCCGAGAACCGCCCATGGAAGATTGGACTGGTCCCGCAAATGCTGCAACAAATCCCATGTTTCCTGTCGCTTCGCTTGATCCGGGTGCCCATAGAACCCCGTAAGACGCCACGCAGGCTCATTCGGACAAGTAATCTCCACATTAATGTGGTTATTAGAATAACTGAGGAGGTTCACCAACTCGGCATCCCTACATAAAAACGCCAGTCCCCCACTCCTACCCACACAATCGACACTCAGCATACCTTCACAACCCAAACGCACCCTCAAACTCTCAATCTTACTAGTAACCAACTTCGTTTCCATCAGGAAGACGAAATTGGGTCGCCGGCGGGCCACCATGCCCACTAGCTCGTGAACTGTCTGGGTGCCACCCAAACCCCGACAGTTCCAACTCAAAACACTCATGACGATTGGCATGACTGCGATTCTAGTCCCGCCGTAAAACAATTTTTTGCATGCTCCTCCATCACCACATCCTTTCCCGAGTCACTACCCGTTTCCTCAACAGACTCCCTACGCCTCTTCAACTCGCCCTGCATTCCACTTCCCTCCTCCACAACTGCTAACGTGAGAGCCGGAGATTCCGCCTCAGTCCTGGCGATCACCACTATCGACTTCGATGGCAACAGCCATCGCGCTCCGACGAGTTTCGCTTGGCGTCTCCGCCCTGCCTTCATCCAAGCACCGTATGGAAAAGCGTCTGGCTCCACACCTTCCTCATATACCTTTTTGCAGAACTTGTCTGTATGACCCAAAATCCCACAGCAGAAACAAAAGATATTGAGTTGCTCATACCTGAAGGTGATCCACTGGGATGATCCATCCCTCCTAATCAATTTCATCTTCCGTTTCAGTGGCGTGTTGACATCCAGAAGGACCCGAATTCTGTGATAGCTTCTCCAGTTTCCACCAAAGTTGTTCGGGTCTGTGGCCATGAAAACGCCCACATGATTGCCAACCCGGTTAATGAATTCCTGTGACGCATAAATCGACGGGAGACCATGGATTTGGATCCAGCATGGGATAACATTCAGATCCACCTCCTCCGGCCTCATC